GGACTGTGCAGACATGGATAGACTGACTTTATCTCTTAAGGAAAAGAAGATACAGTTTACTACCAAACATGGGACTTTTTCTATCAGTGGCTACAGAATCAGAACTCTAATTTGGGCTGAAATACATAGCATTTGTAGAGAGAAATAAAACTTTGTACACCGTATGTTTGAAGCCTTTGGAGTAATTATTTCTTTAGTGAGTAGAAAACTTTGAAACCACAAAAGGAAAAAAGCCTTCTCAAATTTCTCCTAGTAAATGCCTCATCATTTCATGGGTGTGTGTAAACTCAGGCGAACTAAAGTAAACTGAAGTAAAGTCTGCAATCCAAGGGTTATGATTGCCCAGTTTGAGATTCGCATGATTGAATGTTCCTCCGGACCCGCCTCTCCAGATCCTTCCACAAAGAGAACTAGATTGCTGAGGTGAAGGGTCAGGCCAGGCTTACTAAGCAGTGGAACGAAGCACCAACTTCAGATGCTGGGTGAGAGGGGAGGGTCCAAGAGAAACACAGGAGCTGAAGGTCCACCTAGCTTAGAATCCTCGATGCTGCGGCAACTCTCTGGGGAAGAGTCTTTCCCGGCCCTACTTGAGATTCCTGGGACTCTGTGCATTCCACCAACGCACTCGTAAGAACATAAGCAAGGCCGTGCTGGATCAGCCCGATGGTACCTTCAGGTCCAGCACTCCGTACACACAGTGGCAAACCAGCTGCCTGCAGGATCCCCAAGCAGGATGGGTGCAAGGCCTCCATCTGCCCAAGCTCCTCGGCCACTGGTGCATGCAGGCAAGCCACCTCTGGTGGCTTTTAGAGCCATTCAGATCAGCGACCATCACCACTTCCCATAACAGTGAATTCCACAGTTCAACCATATGCTGTGTGAAGAGGTCCTTCCTTTCATTTGTCCTAAACCTCCCACCAATCAGCTTCATGGGGTGACCCCGGGTTTGCGTGTTCTGGAAGAGACAGACAAATCTCCTCCTCTCCACTTTCTCCGCACCATACATTATTCTGAACACTTCTATCACGTTCCTCGCACTCGCCCTTCTTGGGAGTGGAACAGTCCCAGTGGTGTTGGGACTGCTCTCACAGGGAAGCTGCCCCACCCCCTAATCATTTTGTGGCCCTTTTCTGTACTATTTTGTCCTTCCTTTTAACTGAGAAAAAGGGAAAGCAAGAGAATGTACAGCCACAAATGAAGCTGGATTAATAAAAGAAAATGCATTAAAGCAGATGTTAAAACGCATCAGAATAAAAACAGCATCCAGTCCAGCAGACCTTCCCACACACCGAAGGCCTGTTCAAAATGTGCTTTCCTCTTGTTCCCCGTGGCAAGGAGTTCCACGGCCTGGGAGCAGCCACCAAGAAGGCCGCTTCTCACATTGCCTCCAAAGGTGCTTCCGAAGGCAGCGGTCTTGCAAGAAATGCTGCCGCTGAAGTTCTTATGACCTAGGCAGACCCACATGGGAGAAGATGGTCTTTTGGGTAGCCCGGCCACAAGCCATTCAGGGCTTATAGGCCATTGCCAGGAGATTGAACTCTGCTCAGAAACAGGCAGGTAGCCGCTGTAGCTGCTGTAATGGGCTTCAGTCAGCTGACCAGCCACAGGGTTCTAGACCAGTTGAAGTTTCTAGCAGTTTTCAAAGGCTGACCCACACAGAGCACATTACAGAAGTCCCCAAAGAATGTAAGTGAGCAAGCACAGCTGTGGCCAGACCAGACACCTGTGATGCAAACAGATGCATGGATTCCACAGGGAATCCTTGAAATATTCCACTGGTGAAAGATTAACTTTAGTGCTCTTTGTAACCAGGAACAAGTCAAGGATTCAGCTTCTCTTGCTATGGGGATCCAAGGAAGCAAAATCAGTCAGCCAAGGAAGCTCACTGCAAACCAGGACGCCCCTGATTCAAGTCTCACTTCTGCCAAGAACTTACTCAGTGGGCTTACGGCAAGTCACTCTCTCTTAGCCTGAGCCCCATAAGTGGTATGAGGTATAAAACTGACCTATAACAATCCTGTTGAACAAGATGTGATCCTTGGGATAGTGCAGCGACTCACAACCTGTCCAGAGGGCACGAAGTCAAGGAAGTCTGATTTAAACAATCTGAATAATTATATTTTAAGAGATATATTTCTTTAGTAGAGGTTTCTTACACCAACAAGAATTGATTCCTATAGCTTAAATCCTTTGCCCCCCACCCCACTACTCTGAGATTAGTCCCACCTAGTTTAACTTCTTCCTAGTCAAAGGAATAAAAGATCCAAGCATCAGTGCCTGCAAATTAGCTATGGATTCTTAAGTCCTTATGGCACCTTAGAGATGAATAGATTAACTGTGTCATAAGCTGTGGCTGGAACGGACTGAAGAGCTGAACAGTTGTCTATTACCCTGTTATATAAGGCACACGGATCCTTGGTTACATCAGATTGCAAAAGAGGCAGGAGAAAAGTAAATATTATTTTATGAAATATACTATCACAATCATATGCAAGAGAATGGCACAGAAGGTGGAAGGTGGTGGTTTGTTTTTCACTGTATGTGTTTTTATGGAGTTCTGATTAAGTCTAAGAAAAGCATATGTAGAAAATATAAATGATTACATTATGAAGTTTGAAGAGTACCCGTCTAGTTTCTTTGGTTTGTTTGGGTGCTTAAAATAATGAAAGAGCAATCCTATGCATGTTTAGACAAGAAAAATGTCGTTAAAAATTCCAGCAGTGCCCAGCCTGCTGGATTAGGAGTTGCTACAGTTTTCACACTTGTATAAACATGAGTAAGACTGAACCTTACATCTCCAAAAACCATTTACTGTTCCTTCCTGAGTTCAACATGAAATGCCTGGGGGCTCATTTTTTTAAAAGCCAGAAAACATTGTTAGTGCTATAAAAGGAGGGAGGGGGGAGACAGGAAAATTATCTTTAAAATAATTACTGGGGGGAGTTTGATAACATGAATGCTCCTCGCTGATTTTAAGAAAGCTGAAGCTTTCTTTGATCATATATGGGCTTTATCTGAACAGGAAGATCTAAATGTACTTTTGGCTACATTTGGCTACATCTAGACTACAGAAAGATAGATATGTAATCAAGCCTAATTGTTTTTGGAAAAACTTTCTTCTGAATGTACAAGGTTAGGATTGCCCTGAACGAAAGAACGGACCTTAAATGTCCTAACCACGCTTGAGTGTGCAGCGCCTTAACTCACTGGGCCATGTTGTTTGGCGACTCATAAAGAGAGCCAAGGGTATGTTGCACCAATCTTCAATTCCTATGGAAGTAACAGATGCACCAAAAATTAAAAATATTTTCTTGGTGGATGGGATGGGGCACAGAAAGGTTGAAATGCACCTTGAGAGTGAGCGTTGCCCCCACTTGTTAGATTTTGAATGCATTTACACCAGAAAAACATATTTTCTCTGAAATCCTATTAATTTGCACTGAAAGCGGGCTTGTGTATTTTTTCTGCAGTGTATGATGAGTTCTAATTTGCATTTGAATAGCGCCTTGAAGTAACCACGGGAGTTCAGCAGCGCATGCAGAGGGAGCGAGGGCCTTGTGCGCTTCTCCCACTGTGTGGCCCCATATACATTGGTATCTGCCTTCTAATTAGATGTAGCAGAAGCCTGAAGACTCACAGTGCCATTTTCAAGCCTTTTAGGGCAACAGGAAAAAGAAAACAGCTGCATGGTGGAGGAGAGCAGCTGGATCTAGAGAATCAGTCCTACCTAAAGCGCTTCCATTCAGAGGAACAGGATACCGCCCTTACAGGGCATCCTTCCTAATGCTGTGCAGCAAGAAGAGGCAGGAGTCTGGCGGCATCTGTATAGACAGCACTGGGCCCCAATGCATTCATTCTGGCATTTATTTCCACTGTCACTCATATCATCAGACAGACCGTTTTACTCAGAAATCCAGGTGGAGCGTGGCGATTTGAGCGCCAGCCTGGGAGATTCAGATTCAGTCCGCTAGCACAGCCGATTTTTGGCCAGTCATTGTCTCTCAGTCCGTCCTACCTCATAGGGCTGTTGTTGAGAGGATAAAATGCGGTGGAAGAGATGTTTAAAAGCCCCCCTGGGACGGGGAGCGGCGTAATGTGATAAAAATAATGTGGTGTGCCAGTGGTAACCATGCTGAGCTGCCCCCCCCCGCAAACTTGGGGCAATTTTGCTCCAGAAGAAAAAAGGTGGGATATAAGTGCAAAGTAGTACTATGGCTGATACATTTGCGGGGCAAGAAAGAACTACACACAGTGAGGCCTGGAGAAAACCAGGAGGAGAAAGCGTCAGATCACAGCACGAAGCCATCATTCAGCGCAGCGGCCGGCGAACGCACCCCGCCCAGCGCTAGGTGAGCCAGCTAACGCCGTTCAGACTGGCCGCGACCCTGCCCCGTTGACCGCGACGGATTTCGCGCCGCCCGGCACCCCGCTCCCCCGACGCGCGGGACCACAACTCCCGGCATCCTGCTGGCTCAGGGATGCTGGGCGTTGTAGTGTGCGAGGGGGACCCCACGGGAACGGCTGGAGCGCGCGGGCCCTTCCGAGGCGCGGAGAGGAGTGCGCGCCCCATGGGGAGGCGCCGCGCCCCTCCCGCCCGCCGCCGCCGCCGCCGCCGCTGGGGCGGTTGATGCAAGAGCCCCGCGGCCGCGCCTCCTTCGCCGCCCGGCCGGCGGGCCTCCTCGCCTGCCCCAATCAAGAGCTGCCGCGGCGGAGGAGTGGCCCGGGGGCGCGGCGGGGCTGCCGGGCGGCAGCGGGCGAGCCTGGAGAGGGAAGCGCGGCGAAGCGCGGCGCGGGCCGCCGGAGCCCCGCGGCCAAGGCCCGCCGGCCGCCCCCCGCCGCCCCTCGGGCGCGCCGGGTCCGCGGCTGCAAACGGGCGTGCGCGCCTGCGCTTCCAGCGGGCTCCGCGGCTCCTTGCACCCTGCGCGAAAGAACCACACACGCCCGTTATCAGTCGTGCTCCGCACGGCCAGCCCAGGCGCCCCCCCGCCCCGCCCCGTTACCTTCCGTAGCTCCTTCTCGATCTCGCCCGCCTTCAGCACGATGGGCCCCCGCACGGCGTACTCCACCGCCTTCACCTGCGGGTTCATGGACTCCAGCGTGAGGATCTTCTCGCGGACCGGCTTCTCCTTGACCTGCACGGCGGAGGCATTGGCGGCGCTGCTCCGGCGCACCGGCACCGCCTGCAGCCGGGGGGGCCGGGCCGCGGGGCGCTGATGCGGCGCTCGCCGCGGCTCCTTGCCGGCCACCAGCGAGGCGACGAAGCGCACGGCCGCCTCTCGCCTGTCCTTGGGGTAGCCCGGGCGAGCGGCGAGCCCCGAAAAGCGATGCATGCTGCTCCGCCTCGGAGGGCCCTTCTGCACGCGGGGGAAGCGAACAAAAGGAATCAGTGCCCCCCGCGAGGTCCCCGAAGAGAGATCTCCGCTGGCGCGCAGGCGATGCGCTCGGTCCTCATGAGCAAGCCCAGGAAACGGAATGGATGCTACGAAGGCACGCTCGGCTTCGCAGGGCGAGCAACTTTAGCCGGGGAGGGAGGAGGTCGGAGCCGAATCTCCCCAGCAGGGAGACAGATCCGTGCTGATGGCTGCGCGCAGGGAGGACGCAGGCTCCCGGCCGTCTGGCACCCGTGCTCTCCTCCGAATCTGGCCTTTGCCGAGGAACCACGTCCCAGAAAAGCCCTCTCGGCTGCACATCCCCCGGACAACTTCACGCCCCCAAGTCCCCTCTTTCCACCGCCCCTCTCTGAAGGTGTAGCAGATTGCACCAGCCGAGGCAGCCCGCCGCGCTGCCTGGTGGGATTTGTAGTGCTCTCTCGCCGAAGGCTACGCCCGTCCGGCAGCGCCAGGGGGCGGGAGAGAGAACTACCACGCCCGGCATCCCCTCGTCTTAAGCGCAACTGGGGAGCCCGGGCTTGAGCGTGGGAAGCAGCGGCGGCGGCGGCGGGCGGGCTGCCGGTGAGGCGACATCACGCCACACCTCGGGTCGCGCCGAAGGGGGCTGGCTTCGGTGTTCGTTTCCTAAGACCAGACGCAGATGGCTTTGCCCGAGATGGCGCTTATTTGCCCCCCCCCCCGCCCCGCTCTGTGGCAAAACTGAAGGTGGAAGCGCGTTAGTCGCCCCCGTTGTTAAACGAGGCTCTGGCGAGGAAAGGGCATCGCGACTGCTTTGCGGCGCACGCGTACGCTTGCGCAAGGGGGCCAGCCTTGGGTGAGACTTTCCGAAACGTTTTGGGAAAGGATCGCCCTTCTCTGTCACAGCAAACGCAACGGAAAGAGCGTGTGGCACCTGAAAAGCCGAACGCGTTTATCTTGGCGGAGGCTGTCAGCCCAGGAAGCCGAGACGTCTCATGAAGCGGACACGTCCACGAAAGTTTATGCCAGAATATAGGTGGATACCTGTGAGGGTTTAGACAGACAAAACTCCTGCCACCCCTAGCGAGCCCCAGTGAGCTGGCTGAGGAATACTGAAAGTTGTAGGACTTAAAAAAAAAAAAGTTTAGGATTGCGTGCTAAATAGGTTAGTTTTAAAGGTATTTTCTAGTACTAAGTTATTTTTCAGTAGGAAAGTATATGTAGTCAGCTCCAAAGCTGGTGATTTTAAGGTTGCAGTCCTAAACTTCCAATTTTTACAAAACAAGTTGCTGTATGGAGAAGAACATTTCCAAAATCCATGCTGCTCTACTTTATTGGGCCAAAAATACCAGGTTTAATAAAGGCATTCCAGCAACATGCGTGTTCTGAGAATGTCAGAAGCCTTGGGGCTACCACGGTCTTGAAAGGCAGCTAAGAAATACATAAAATAAATAAGCATAAATTCTTGGATGTAGGCCTCATTGAATATAGAAAGAACTGCTTCTGAGTATGTGCGGGTAAAGGTTGTGCAGTAAACTGGAATCCTGGCCTACATACTAGCAGCAAACTTACTCTGAGTGCTTTGTGGATCCTTACTGTAGCCAAAAGTGCACCAGACTTAAGAAAATTGTAAGGTTTACAGACGTGCAGCAGGGGCAGGAGGAAGACCCCATGATGGTGCAGCTTGAACGGGATCTTGGGGCCAAAGTCCAGGGCGCACAGCCCAGCCAGCCCTCCGTCAGATGACCATCCAAGAGCAACATGTGACGATGAAGCAGGGTGACAGAAGCAAAACGGGCATCCTCCCATGACCATTAAGTCCAATTAGGAACGTGCAATTGGGCACGCCCAGGGTCAATCTGCAGGTCACTTCTCCATGAGTATATCCAAGTGGACTGGTTTCAAACTTGCACAGATTGTACCTGACTGGTTTCTCTTCTTGCAAAGGCTTGTCCAAGGACTTAGGCAACGGCGTTTAGCATCAAGGCTTAAGGCTAGATGGGGAAAAGCTATCGCTGTACTATGATGAGTGTTCATAACTCGGTCTGGGCTGCTACCAGCAATAAGAAAACATTGCTGAACTGTTTGCACAGTAAACTGGGTTTATTCAGCCTTGTGTTTTTCCAGTGGAGTTGCCTTTTTTGTTTTTTTTGGAAATGGAAAATAACTGGGCACTCTGTCTGATCAACTTAGACCCCCGTTTGAGAGACTTGTGCAGCAGTGCGTGTCCTTGTGACCAAACCAGAAAATATTGTAGTGATGGATTTCCATTTGCCCTGAATGGGGACTGATCCAGAGCATGTGACATGAAGGGCTGAACACGGGGTGGGATTCAGACTCTGTTATGGGATGAGTTAGTCATGATTGACTGAAGTCCTGCTGACTTTATGGGTGTACCCTAAGCACGACTGAGTCCGGATGCAGGTGTGTGAATTTCATGCTGCTCCATCTATAAAGAGTTAAGAGAATAATTAGTTAAGAGGAAGACTAGCACATGCTTGCATAGAAAAGTCCTTCCAGATGTAATTATAGGTGGCATGCAATGAGCCCACAGTTGAAGCAGTGTGTGTGTGTCTGTGTGTGTGTGTGTGTGTGTGTGTGTGTGTGTGTTTTATTAAACAGAAATTCTTTTTCTGCACTGCAAATGTTGACTGTCTAGTTATCCGGATTGCCATCTCTCTGTGTCAAGTATCCTAGTTGTTTAGAGCTTTATACACTAGTACACTTTTGAGACTCCAGAGGAAACAGTGGACCTACAAGGTCATGACCCTGCTGTGTTGAAGGGAATACAACCCCATCCGAGACCTGACAAGGAATCCCTCTCCAGGGTGCACAGTGCAATCACGTGCGTGTTTACTTACAGTGTGTTTACTTAAGAGCCAGTGTGGTGCAGTGGTTAAGAGCCTGGGACTGGGACTCAGACGATCTGGGTTCTAGTCTCCGCTCAGCCATGGAGCCCACTGGGTGACTTTGGGCCAGTCACAGACTCTCAGCCCAACCCACCTCACAGGGTTCTTGTTGTGGGGATAAGATGGAGGAGGAGAATGATGTAAGCTGCCTTGAGCCCTTTGTAGGAGAAAGGCAGGATATAAATCGAAAAATAAATATATAAATAAATAAAATAAAAAATAACTCTCATTGAGCTCAATGTGCCTTTTTCCCAGGTGAGCATCAATAGGCTTGCTGGTCTAATAATCAGTGCTACAAACCCCAGTGCTACCTGAAACTTTATTCATAAACAGGTTAAACTGGAGTAATTAGGTTTAAAGGGGATTTTCCAGATATTCTAGGATGTGTGTGCTTGTTTCTCTATAAAATAGTAGCATTGCAAGGGGCCATGAAGGCCATTAGGTTCAACCCCCTGCTGTTGCAGGACACCACGTTACACCATCCCACTCAGATGGCTGTCCAGTTTCTTTTGGAATGTCTCTAATGTGGGGGAGCCCACAACCTTTCTACTGTCGCATTGCTCTGACAGTGAGGAAACTTTTCCTGATATTATTATTACATTTTTTTTATACTGCCCATAGCCAAAGCTCTCTAGGCAGTTGACAGCAGTAATCACAGAATCATACCCTCAAGTCACCCATCCCGCTTCTGCCCAGGCCTGACCCTGCTTAGCTTCCAAGATTATGGGTTGTTGCAACTTGACTTGGTTATTCCATGTCCTACACTCTGGTATCAGTGAGAAGAGATCTTGACCTTCCTCTTTGTGACAGCCTTTGAGGTCCTTATACAGGGATATCATGTCTCCCTCAGTTTTCTCTACTCAAGGCTGAACATGCTCAGTTCTTTCAGTCTCTCCTTATAGGGCACTGTTTACAAACCTTTTGGTGCCCTCCTGTGCATCCTTTCTAATTTTTCTGCATCTTTCTTAAATCTTGGTGCCCAGAACTGGACACAGTATTCCAGATGAGGTCTGACTAGTGAGGGGTATAGGGGATCTACTACTTCTCTTGATTTGGAAGTAATACGTCTGATAATGAATCCCAAAATAGCATTTTCCCTTTTAGCAGCTGCATCACATTGTAGGCTCATGTTTAGCCTGTTGTCCACTGTTACGCCAAGATCTTTTTCCGTTCTGTTGAGCCACGTATTCCCCATCTTGTATTGATGCATTTGGTTTCTTTTTCTAGGTGGAAGACTTGGCACTTGTCCTTATTGAATCTCATTCTGTTGCTTTCAGCCCAGTGTTTATCCAGTAATCCTAGCATGGCCAGTGAAAAGATGCTACATGTCTATTCCATTTTTCCCTTTTCAATAGTTTCTTTTGGTGGAAAGAAAAAAGATGGTAGTGGTGGGAAAATACAGGAGGGTGACAGATGAAAAATGCCGTATTTTGGACCCATCAGAAAGTTCCAGGAATGAGGTAATGCAATTGCATAACAGAAGACTGAAAGCAACCAGTTCTTGTTTACTGCAGCCAGTTTTAGGATACGAACTTGGTGACGCAAGACACTGTTGTCATCCATTAACAAAAAGCTGCCTGCATTATCTTGCCTTGCTCAGTAGGTTGAGCTTTTCTTATATTTCATCAGTACTGTTCGCAGGCGGCACTGTGTCCTTTGCAAAACTCTGATGCAAATCATGAGTTCCCTTGTTTTGAAATTTAAGTAATTGTGGAATGCTACACAAGGAGCTTGCTTGTGTCGAGTTCAGTAAAGAAACATTTGACCTTTTAAACATCTGCCTTCTTTATAGCCGTCATTCTCCCCCCACTGTTGTAGATCCCTGGAGTTCAGAAGCTTGAAGATATGTATTTATTCATTTATTTAAGGTTTTAGAATGCTGTCCCAATTAATAAAACAGTCTCTGGATGGCTTACAGAGAGTGAACCAAAAAAAACCCCCAACCCATAACAATGACAACACACATCTTAAAAAAAAGTACACTGCATCTAAAATAATAATAATAACAAGGGTAAAACCAGTTAATTATTAAAATACTGGGAAAATAAAGAAAATAAAAAATATGTAGCACTAGCTCTGTGTGATTCTGAGAACAATGGATCTATTAAGAGACATGATCGATAGAATGTTGCATTATTGCTTAATACTTGTTTAGGTTGGCAGTGTGATACATAAGTGAGCGTGCCAGTCATCACAGAATTGACGTTGCTCTCGTAGCTTTGCTGACGGACTGGGGAGATGGGGCAGGCGTTGAATAGAACATCCTGGAACATACAGAGGTTTGGCACACATTTCTTTAGCACCTAACAGGAACCGCACTGGTCAGACGAGGTTCTGCCACCCTATCCCAGTAAGTGCGTTGAACCTGT